TAAAATAAAAAAAAACTTGAAATATGGAAAAGAAATATTTTGCAAACAAGTATTACGAGCTGAAAATTGATGCATGTTCTAAATTTTTCTTTCGCTTAAGTTTCAATTAAACACTAATTTAATCATTGATCATTAATTTTTTCGTCAATTTCTTGCTAAAAATTAAAAAATGTTTGGTCAACAATTTTTCGTTTCCAAAAACCGTTATCGAATTTGACCTATTTTTTCTGTTCATCTCCAAACTTTCTTAGACGAGTTGCTGACATTGTTTTCAAAGTAAACCAAAAAACAACTTTCTTTATTAAAATTATCATCTACGCTAAGACTCTGAAGTTTCCGCTGAAATTTTGAAACTTGCTGAAGGATTACTCGAGGCGAAATTTTCCAAGTTTGGGATTGATATTTAGGAGTGGGTGGTAAAAAAGCTACCGCTTACGTATGATACAGTTCTATTTAGTATCACAAAGTTATAATAATAATGACAAAAGCCCAAAATTTTGTATGATTTAATGAGCGCTGTAGAGGGACTATTTACAAAACAAAGTTCGATTAGTCCTAGTTCTAGTAAGCAACAACCCAACCCATTAAAACATCGAGATAACAGTAATAAAATATGTGAAAATTCCTCCGTTTTGTAAACGGTTACAATAAAATATATAGACACAAAATAATAAAAAACACAACTTGGTTGCTGGACGGAATAAAAAAATAAGTGTATATAAGTAGTAAATATTTACAACGTCATGTAATTTTATATACATTTCTTAAGTGCACTTAAGCTTGGGTGTTTTGTACTTAAATAATCACACTTCAGTACTGTGTGTCTGTATCCGCACTTTTTTCGTACTCCCATTCCGGGAGAGAGTGGGGGAGGTTCCTGAAAATCCCGGATTTTGGATCCCGAGCCCGTCTTTGGGTTTCGGCTTCTTCAAACTGGATCTGAGGGGCGACCTCGTCACTGAGGAGCCCACAGTGGACCCATTTGTGGACCCAATGGTCGTGGAAGTGGTGTTCATGGAAGCCATGCTCCCGTTGGACGCCGTGGGCATGTAGGGCTTACCACTGGCGTCCGTCACCGACACGCTTCTCCCTAAAATACCAAGAAATAATAATAAAATCTAAACTTTAATTTTTTTTTCGGCAAAATAAAAAAAAAATTTTTTTCAAATTTTAAGTTTTCTTACGTAGGATTGTTAAGATAACAAAACAGAAAACATTTCTTACTTTTTTGTGATATCGCCCAAAGTTTAAGGTTTTGGTTAAAATTTAGTTTGTCAAGATTCAAACTTTAACGATTATTTTTTGACAAAGAGGAGAGTGAAAACAACTCGATTTCTATATTTTCTAACGCAAAATTGTCCAAAAAATCCAAATCTATTTTCATTTTTTGTCTACGGGTGATAGTTTCTAAGATATCGGTCAAAGTTTGCGAGATTGGTTAAAATTTAGATTGTCAAAATCTAAACTCTTGTATATATTTTTTTTTTTTTTTGGCAAAGTAAAAAGAAAAAATATTTCAAATTTTAAGTTTTCTTACGTAGAATTATCCAAAAATTACGAATCTCTCGTTATTTTTTATCTACAGCTGAACCTTTTTGTGATATCGGCCAAAGTTTAAGGTTTTGATTAAAATTTAGTTTGTCAAGATTCAAACGATTTTTTTTTGACAAAGTGGAGAGTGAAAAACAACTCAACTTCTATATTTTCTAACGTAAAATTGTCCAAGAAATAGAAATTTGTTTTTATTTTTTGTCTCCGAATAATAGTTTTTAAGATATCGGTCAAAGTTTGCGAGATTGGTTAAAATTTAGTTTGTCAAAATCTAAACTCTTGTATAAAAATTTTTTTGGCAAAGTAAAAAGAAAAAATATTTCAAATTTTAAGTTTTCTTACGTAGAATTGTCCAAAAATTACCAATCTCTCGTTATTTTTTATCTACAGCTGAACCTTTTTGTGATATCGGCCAAAGTTTAAGGTTTTGGTTAAAATTTAGTTTGTCAAGATTCAAACGATTTTTTTTGACAAAGTGGAGAGTGAAAAACAACTCAACTTCTATATTTTCTAACGTAAAATTGTCCAAGAAATAGAAATTTGATTTTATTTTTTGTCTCCGAATAATAGTTTTTAAGATATCGGTCAAAGTTTGCGAGATTGGTAAAAATTTAGTTTGTCAAAATCTAAACTCTTGTATAAAAA